CTTACAATTGGGCCTTGACCATATTTTACAATTGGGCTTTAACCATATTTTAACCAATTCAAATAGTTTGGGTTAAGTTGTGTAAAAGCCCATTAGACCCTTATTTCACCAATTTTTCATTATAATTCAGTCCATGAAAATATGCAAGACAATAATGTAGTACATTTAAATAGTAGTTTGAAAATAAAAAAATGTATTAATGCAATGTAGGGTTGTGCATGGATCGGTTTTAACCACCAACCAACCCATTTTCGACTCATAATTTGTGACGGATAATCAACCATCAACCGACCCATTTAAGTTGGGTCGATAATCTCAACCAACCCATGTATAGTTGGGTCGATAATGGTTTCTAATATGCTATAAAGTATTAAAGTTGGTTAGTCGGGTAATATCGGCCAACCAACTTTATTTATTAATTTATTATTATTAATTTTATTTAAAATATTAATATTTTTAATATCAAATTTCTATTTTATATCACATTTATTAAATTGTTTAATATTGACCAAAATCCAAAAGCAATAAATCTGACATAATCATCTATTTTGAACTATTTTAATTTTAAGACAATGTAGTCTAAATATTTGGACGATTATTAATTGTTGAACTATTTATGTTTAATTGCAATATATATGGCTCGTAATGTTTTGAATTTTTTTTATATGAATATTGTTGAACTAGTCATATTTAATTTATAAAATATATAGTGTTGTAACAACTAATAAAATATTAAATAAAATTAAAAAATATTTAGATGGATGACCCATCAACCGACCCACTAAATTGGCTTTCAACCATCACCCAACCCATGTAAATTGGGTCGATAACGGTTTTCAATATTGATCAAAGTTGGTTGGATGGGTTGAGTTGGTTTTATGGCTGATTTCTAAACAAACTAACCAACGCGAAGCCCTAATGCTAGACCTGACCACGGTTCGGTTCGATTCCGGTTCGGATTTGGGAGGAACAAAAACCGAAAAAATTCGGTTCCTTGCGGTTCGGTTCTCGGTGAGACCCGTAGATCCGTTTGGTTATTTATATTATTTTTTATTTTTTTTTATATATATATATTTATATAAAAAATTAAAAAATACTTTCAAAAAAATAAAAAAAAATTAAAAATAATTTTTATAAATGGAAAAAAAATTTAAAAAATATATATATATATATATATATATATATATATATATATATATATATATATGGGGTGGGGCTATGACAAACACCCCTCATTCAATTTTGACTTAATGATAAATCCATTTTTATTAATTGATATTTGTTATAAACCCAATTGACATGAAT